CAAATAAAAACAAATTGAACACAAATAAAACCCAGTGCCAGTCTGTCAGGAACCAGCATTGTGGCAGAAAGCACGCAAGGGACAGCCTCAGACTGAATCCTAAACCCAATGACCTATAATAGTGAGGATTAGTGAAGTGTCTTGCCTTCGAGGACCGGCTGGCAGGGACGCGATTCCAGCGCAACTGGGGGGTCCGATTTGGACCACCGAGAACCACCCGTTTCAATTGAAACCAGCCGATATCGGCTAGCATAAGGGTTGCCAGCGGAACGCAGGGTAGTGATTTGGACCCCCCCAGATGTGCTTGCGGGAGGATAGTAAAGAGACACGGGCGGGTTTCAATTGAAATCAGCGGAACTGGGGGGTCTGCAGTTGGATCCTGAGTTCCTCTGGAACCGAAATCCAGCGCATCTCTGGCCTGCACGGGATAAACAAAATCCGTTGCATTTGTCCGTGGCCCACATCTCCTTTCCGGGTTTTGGATTTGTGACAGCCATCATCTCCGTTTAGGGGTTTGGGTTTCGCAAACAACAGTCTCGTGGTAGGGCTTTAACTTTAAAGCCAACATCTCCTTTTAGGGTTTTGGCTGCCAGCCAACTTTCCTTTTAGGGTTTTGGTTTGCCAGCCAACATCTGTCTCGTTTTTTGTTTAGGGACTTTGATCTTTAAGGACATCTTGGTACAGTAACATTCAAATAGATCCGAATGACGAAGCATGTCCGGTGTTTCCCTCTGGCGCACTGTGTTAGCTGCTGTGCTGCTGCTCACGCAGCACTAGAGCTCAAAGTTTTGACGTGAACGCTGCCTTCCGCTCAGCGCTCATGGCTTCGCAGGGCGAGAACGACGTGGCAAGCCTGTGTCCGGGGCAGGACTCCGTGGAGGTGGACTCGTCCGACACCCCGGAGGACAAGTTTGCGAAAGTGGCTCTGGAAGACTTGGGCCGTGTCTTCACACAGTTTGGTGGCCCAGCGCAGTACCTGCAAAGGAACTTGCTTACGGAAGGGGAAAGGACGGCCTTCCGTGACTACCTCCACAACCTGTTGCCAGAACAGGATGAGGTCTTCTACGCGAGTGAGGCCGACTTGCCCAAGGTGAAGGACAACGAAGATCTTGCTACCCAGCTGCCGCTCGCCGTGCGGGTGTCCAGCCTAGGCTTCGACACTGTTTGTTCCTTGAAGCCAAGCCCAGGGCAGCAGGTGGCCAAGGAGCTGCTAGAGCACTACCTCAAGGACGGCTTCGTGACTGCAGGTGAGCCGCTGCTGGTGACCCAATCTGTGGACCACGCACCGGGTCTGAACCCACCCGTCGCCACGGACACAGGCCTCAAGTGTTTCTCGTTAGGGTACATCAAGGGCATGGCACGGTCAACGACAATGTTGTGTTTCCTTCACAGGGCGTTTGTGCGTGGGTGGGACTTGCAGTCGTGCCACAACAAGTTGTGGCGATCCCTTCTCGTTGTCTACATTCACCGCTTGCAGACTGGCAGCAAAGTGGAGGAAGCCCTGAAGAACATGCAGTACTCCACCCGTGGTGCTGTGCGAAAGGCGAACTCTGTGATCCAGATTGTGAAGATGATCCAGACGCTGCTGCAGCATGGCATGCAGGACTTTACTGTCTTCACTCGGCAGTGGAACCAGATGGCTCCGACTTCTCATCGCTTGGTGGGAAAGAAGTCCCAAGCCTTGAAGCTGCTGTTCGAGCTGGCCCCACAGGTGAATCAGCTACTGGCAACAGATAATGAAAGCAATAATCCCAACATTTAGGATCTTAGGGTTCAGGGGTCTGTGGGATAGGGGGCGTTAAAAGTTGCCCAGTGTCATTTTCGAGTTTATTGTGCTTCAGGCAGTCCTCGACGAGGTGGTGGAGCATGTAGGGTACTGGGGATGGGATTCCGCAGCTTGGACAGACGACAGTCTGGCGTCCAAGAAAGTCTACCCTGGCTACCAATTTCCTGCGAAGGTGAAATCCTGGCTGCCGCGAGTCAAGGTGTGTGCCGAGAGCATGGAGCTCTTTGTCCGCCGCGTCCATGACTCGCATGCCCAGCTGCCTGAATACATGCGCAAGTTCAAGAAGGACCAAGCTGCTATGGACCAGCTTGCGGAGCGGGCAGCGTTCATCTGGAATGTGGGCCAGGAGTTTCTGCAGCAAGTTCCTGTCAAGCCTGGGGATCTGCAGACTGGCTTCTACGACCTGTGGGCATTTGGAAGCTCCTCTGTGGACACAGACGCCCAGGCCGCTTTGATGGACAAGTCTGCGAGCTTTGACGTGACAAAAAGCATGTCTTCCCTTCGGGCGTTGATGGAGGCCCACCTCTTCACCTCGCCAGTCCCGCAGTCTCTGGCTGACAAAGACTCCCTGGACGTGGACGCGTGGGAGCTGCAAGAGAAGCAGCTGTGCTACGACTTGAACGTCTTCGAAACCTACAAGAAGAAGTGTGCAGCAGCCGAGACTGCTCGCGAAGCAGCCAAGCAAGAGTGGAGGCTTCGGCGACGGGAAAAGTGTGAGCAGGCCACCACACAGTTCGTCGACACTTGCTGCAAGCTCGTCGTTTGGGACGGCAAGAAGGCAGAGTTGACAGTTGCAGAGGCTGCGAAGTTCAAGCGCGAGATGCTCCAGAAGTGCGGTGCTGCGGGGCAGCCAGACAGACTGCCTGCCCTCGTCTTCCTGAATTACACGAGCCCGTGCCTCATCTACGCAGAGCATTTCGCAGCGCATCAGCACGTTCTCACGTGGGCGATGCATGAGTCCGGCCATGGTGTCGGTCTGCTGCTCGCGCCAGTGTTCACGTACAACAAAGGGCGGATTCACCTGGAGGAGCAAAAGTTGTTGACCATGTTCGGGAATGCGCACTTGAACGTGGACACGCACTTCTCTTTGCTTTACCAGGAGAAGGCAGACACCAGGGACTGCAGGCCGATGACCTACCCAGGTCGTTTGGTCTTTCCTGGAGCTACGGACCTCTCCAAGTCTTTGTGGCAAGGCTGCTTGTTGCGCAAGCTGCAGCGCACGGCCCCCCAAGAGTTCGTGAAGTCAAAAGACCTTCGTGAGATTGAAAATTTGTCTGCCGACTCTTTGCCGCCCTCGACAGACCTGAGGGACAATCATGTCCACGGCGCTTCGAAAGTCTGCCAAGTCGGGCCGGAGGCATGTGCTGCCTTGCTGCAGTCCATGCTTGAGGGCGCAGACACCTCGAAGCTGACGGGCCTCCTCCTGCTGGACCTGTTTCCGCACACGGCCGACATGCTGGAGGCGTTCTGCTTGCAGCAGCGTGTGCACGCAAAGAACTTGACTTTGTCCTACATGGGCTTCTTCGAGTCACAGACACACCTCACTTGGGCTGAGACGTTCGTGAAGGAGATCCTTGTGGGCAAGATCGAGGAGGGTTCTTTGAACATGCCAAATGGGGACCGTCTTGACAAGGAGATCAGCGAAGATCTCCTGGAGAGCTTGCCCAGGAAACCGGACTTGAACGTCCTCGTCTGGACCAAGGAGGGCAACCTTGCCATTCCTGCTGGTTTAGTGAAGAAGTGGCAGGGCCACGCCCTGGTCGGGGACAAGTTCGCCCACTTGCTCTCGAGCTTCAGCGAGAAGGGTGTCACCGTGGCAGACGACTCGGCAGCGACTGGGTCCACCGAGCAGGGCCAGAACCCGTCGCCTAACAAACGTGGTGGCGCGGACAACCAGGACTCCGCAGCCAAGCGGCTGAAACTTGACTTCTTGGACTTGAGCCAGCGACTTCTTGAGGCCAACGCTGTGAGCGAGCCCCTGCTTTTCGAAGCAGTTCTTGGGGGCAAAGCCGCTCCTACACTGCAACTCCGCTCCAACCACCTCGTGGTCCTCTACAACAAGACCGAGACCACGTACACGAGCTCAGCAGCGCCCTTCCTGGCCGGCTTCGGCAAGGGCAGCTTCAAGCTGGTCAAGCCTGGGGAGGACACCAAAGGCCACAAGTTTGAGATGAAAAGCTCTGAGGACTTGGTGGTGCTGAACGGTTCTGTCCAGACACTGGGCAAGGTTGTGTGTGACATGCGGGACAAGAAGCCCGACTGTCAGGTGTGCTACCACAATCTGACACCTGACACGGAGGATGCGAAGAAGTTCAGCCTCCAGACGACGCACTGTGTTGCCTTCCTGCCCAAAGGTCTCGAGGAGAAGGACAAGGTCGACCAGAACAACCTCGCTGTGAAGGAGGGGTGGGCCACTTGGCAAGACTCCGCTGCGGTGCAGCTGCTGTGGGCTGTGCGCTGGGTCACGAAAGGCCTCACTCCAGTCAAACCTGTGGTTCACCTTCGGCAAGCCGTGTCCCTGAACCCGGGCGCGATGTGCAGGTTGTCAAAGTGAGAGCTGTTACTGTTGCGGCTGTCAGCCAGCCAGAAGCAAACTTAAGTGCTCGTGGTCGCTCCGGTCTAAAGAGTGTGAATGTAATATGTAATTAGCTTTTAACAGGATTTAATCACGTTAGCAGTAAATAGGTTTCCTGTAATTTTCTGTACCACAAAACATCATAGGAAAAAGCCGGTAGCAGTACCGACGGGCAAGGGTTTCTGAAGACTTTGGGCTTCAGACGTGTGGTGACGAGCAGGGCCTTTAAGGAGGCTTTCTCACTGAGTTTGTTGCGAGTTGAAGACTCTAAGTAGATGTGTTCGAGCATATCTAGACACTTAGAGTTTAAGGCCCCCCTGTCACTATATAGATGGCTCAGAAAGCTCCTGGCACTTTTGCGCTCGTTTCCCGACAGTCTCCGGACTGTCGGTCACTGGTGTCGAACTCAGCAGCGAGCTGAAAAATCAAACGCCGCAGAAGTCTGGAGGGCAGCTTGCTGGCAGCCAGACTATCGAGGGCTTTGCTGAAATGATAAACTGGAGGCCAGCTTGCTGGCAGCCAGATTATCGACGAGCTTTGCTGCAGTGTTAGACTGGAGGCCAGCTTGCTGGCAGCCAGACTTGCAACCAGTATCGCTGCAGTCAATGCAACGTAGGCCGACATGCCCGACTTTCAACGCCCTGTGCTTGTCAAACAATTGTTCGGCGCCGATAGCCCCTGCTCAAAGCAAAGGGGTCTGACAGTCGTAAAACTCACAGCTCACCGATGTAAGGCATCCAAAATATCGGTAGTGGCAGCAGCAGCAGCAGCAGCGCAGTGACCGCAACAACCGCAGCACCTCCTTCAGCGCCTTCTGTCAATGGCGACTCCCAAGCGAAAGCTCGACCTGGAGAGTCTGGCAGAACCAGAGTCTA